GACTCACTACACTCAAAAATCGACTCACTACACTCAAAAATCGACTCACTACACTCAAAAATCGACTCACTACACTCAAAAATCGACTCACTACACTCAAAAATCGACTCACTACACTCAAAAATCGACTCACTACACTCAAAAATCGACTCACTACACTCAAAAATCGACTCACTACACTCAAAAATCGACTCACTACACTCAAAAATCGACTCACTACACTCAAAAATCGACTCACTACACTCAAAAATCGACTCACTACACTCAAAAATCGACTCACTACACTCAAAAATCGACTCACTACACTCAAAAATCGACTCACTACACTCAAAAATCGACTCACTACACTCAAAAATCGACTCACTACACTCAAAAATCGACTCACTACACTCAAAAATCGACTCACTACACTCAAAAATCGACTCACTACACTCAAAAATCGACTCACTACACTCAAAAATCGACTCACTACACTCAAAAATCGACTCACTACACTCAAAAATCGACTCACTACACTCAAAAATCGACTCACTACACTCAAAAATCGACTCACTACACTCAAAAATCGACTCACTACACTCAAAAATCGACTCACTACACTCAAAAATCGACTCACTACACTCAAAAATCGACTCACTACACTCAAAAATCGACTCACTACACTCAAAAATCGACTCACTACACTCAAAAATCGACTCACTACACTCAAAATCGACTCACTACACTCAAAAATCGACTCACTACACTCAAAAATCGACTCACTACACTCAAAAATCGACTCACTACACTCAAAAATCGACTCACTACACTCAAAAATCGACTCACTACACTCAAAAATCGACTCACTACACTCAAAAATCGACTCACTACACTCAAAAATCGACTCACTACACTCAAAAATCGACTCACTACACTCAAAAATCGACTCACTACACTCAAAAATCGACTCACTACACTCAAAAATCGACTCACTACACTCAAAAATCGACTCACTACACTCAAAAATCGACTCACTACACTCAAAAATCGACTCACTACACTCAAAAATCGACTCACTACACTCAAAAATCGACTCACTACACTCAAAAATCGACTCACTACACTCAAAAATCGACTCACTACACTCAAAAATCGACTCACTACACTCAAAAATCGACTCACTACACTCAAAAATCGACTCACTACACTCAAAAATCGACTCACTACACTCAAAAATCGACTCACTACACTCAAAAATCGACTCACTACACTCAAAAATCGACTCACTACACTCAAAAATCGACTCACTACACTCAAAAATCGACTCACTACACTCAAAAATCGACTCACTACACTCAAAAATCGACTCACTACACTCAAAAATCGACTCACTACACTCAAAAATCGACTCACTACACTCAAAAATCGACTCACTACACTCAAAAATCGACTCACTACACTCAAAAATCGACTCACTACACTCAAAAATCGACTCACTACACTCAAAAATCGACTCACTACACTCAAAAATCGACTCACTACACTCAAAAATCGACTCACTACACTCAAAAATCGACTCACTACACTCAAAAATCGACTCACTACACTCAAAAATCGACTCACTACACTCAAAAATCGACTCACTACACTCAAAAATCGACTCACTACACTCAAAAATCGACTCACTACACTCAAAAATCGACTCACTACACTCAAAAGTCGACTCACTACACTCAAAAGTCGACTCACTACACTCAAAAGTCGACTCACTACACTCAAAAATCGACTCACTACACTCAAAAATCGACTCACTACACTCAAAAATCGACTCACTACACTCAAAAATCGACTCACTACACTCAAAAATCGACTCACTACACTCAAAAATCGACTCACTACACTCAAAAATCGACTCACTACACTCAAAAATCGACTCACTACACTCAAAAATCGACTCACTACACTCAAAAATCGACTCACTACACTCAAAAATCGACTCACTACACTCAAAAATCGACTCACTACACTCAAAAATCGACTCACTACACTCAAAAATCGACTCACTACACTCAAAAATCGACTCACTACACTCAAAAATCGACTCACTACACTCAAAAATCGACTCACTACACTCAAAATCGACTCACTACACTCAAAAAGTCGACTCACTACACTCAAAAATCGACTCACTACACTCAAAAATCGACTCACTACACTCAAAAATCGACTCACTACACTCAAAAATCGACTCACTACACTCAAAAATCGACTCACTACACTCAAAAATCGACTCACTACACTCAAAAATCGACTCACTACACTCAAAAATCGACTCACTACACTCAAAAATCGACTCACTACACTCAAAAATCGACTCACTACACTCAAAAATCGACTCACTACACTCAAAAATCGACTCACTACACTCAAAAATCGACTCACTACACTCAAAAATCGACTCACTACACTCAAAAATCGACTCACTACACTCAAAAATCGACTCACTACACTCAAAAATCGACTCACTACACTCAAAAATCGACTCACTACACTCAAAAATCGACTCACTACACTCAAAAATCGACTCACTACACTCAAAAATCGACTCACTACACTCAAAAATCGACTCACTACACTCAAAAATCGACTCACTACACTCAAAAATCGACTCACTACACTCAAAAATCGACTCACTACACTCAAAAATCGACTCACTACACTCAAAAATCGACTCACTACACTCAAAAATCGACTCACTACACTCAAAAATCGACTCACTACACTCAAAAATCGACTCACTACACTCAAAAATCGACTCACTACACTCAAAAATCGACTCACTACACTCAAAAATCGACTCACTACACTCAAAAATCGACTCACTACACTCAAAAATCGACTCACTACACTCAAAAATCGACTCACTACACTCAAAAATCGACTCACTACACTCAAAAATCGACTCACTACACTCAAAAATCGACTCACTACACTCAAAAATCGACTCACTACACTCAAAAATCGACTCACTACACTCAAAAATCGACTCACTACACTCAAAAATCGACTCACTACACTCAAAAATCGACTCACTACACTCAAAAATCGACTCACTACACTCAAAAATCGACTCACTACACTCAAAAATCGACTCACTACACTCAAAAATCGACTCACTACACTCAAAAATCGACTCACTACACTCAAAAATCGACTCACTACACTCAAAAATCGACTCACTACACTCAAAAATCGACTCACTACACTCAAAAATCGACTCACTACACTCAAAAATCGACTCACTACACTCAAAAATCGACTCACTACACTCAAAAATCGACTCACTACACTCAAAAATCGACTCACTACACTCAAAAATCGACTCACTACACTCAAAAATCGACTCACTACACTCAAAAATCGACTCACTACACTCAAAAATCGACTCACTACACTCAAAAATCGACTCACTACACTCAAAAATCGACTCACTACACTCAAAAATCGACTCACTACACTCAAAAATCGACTCACTACACTCAAAAATCGACTCACTACACTCAAAAATCGACTCACTACACTCAAAAATCGACTCACTACACTCAAAAATCGACTCACTACACTCAAAAATCGACTCACTACACTCAAAAATCGACTCACTACACTCAAAAATCGACTCACTACACTCAAAAATCGACTCACTACACTCAAAAATCGACTCACTACACTCAAAAATCGACTCACTACACTCAAAAATCGACTCACTACACTCAAAAATCGACTCACTACACTCAAAAATCGACTCACTACACTCAAAAATCGACTCACTACACTCAAAAATCGACTCACTACACTCAAAAATCGACTCACTACACTCAAAAATCGACTCACTACACTCAAAAATCGACTCACTACACTCAAAAATCGACTCACTACACTCAAAAATCGACTCACTACACTCAAAAATCGACTCACTACACTCAAAAATCGACTCACTACACTCAAAAATCGACTCACTACACTCAAAAATCGACTCACTACACTCAAAAATCGACTCACTACACTCAAAAATCGACTCACTACACTCAAAAATCGACTCACTACACTCAAAAATCGACTCACTACACTCAAAAATCGACTCACTACACTCAAAAATCGACTCACTACACTCAAAAATCGACTCACTACACTCAAAAATCGACTCACTACACTCAAAAATCGACTCACTACACTCAAAAATCGACTCACTACACTCAAAAATCGACTCACTACACTCAAAAATCGACTCACTACACTCAAAAATCGACTCACTACACTCAAAAATCGACTCACTACACTCAAAAATCGACTCACTACACTCAAAAATCGACTCACTACACTCAAAAATCGACTCACTACACTCAAAAATCGACTCACTACACTCAAAAATCGACTCACTACACTCAAAAATCGACTCACTACACTCAAAAATCGACTCACTACACTCAAAAATCGACTCACTACACTCAAAAATCGACTCACTACACTCAAAAATCGACTCACTACACTCAAAAATCGACTCACTACACTCAAAAATCGACTCACTACACTCAAAAATCGACTCACTACACTCAAAAATCGACTCACTACACTCAAAAATCGACTCACTACACTCAAAAATCGACTCACTACACTCAAAAATCGACTCACTACACTCAAAAATCGACTCACTACACTCAAAAATCGACTCACTACACTCAAAAATCGACTCACTACACTCAAAAATCGACTCACTACACTCAAAATCGACTCACTACACTCAAAAATCGACTCACTACACTCAAAAATCGACTCACTACACTCAAAAATCGACTCACTACACTCAAAAATCGACTCACTACACTCAAAAATCGACTCACTACACTCAAAAATCGACTCACTACACTCGGGCATGTCTTGCCTCCTGATTCTGCAGGAACGAGTTTTACAAGTCTTGATCCTTTTGCTTAAGCGATTTCTCTACGTTTGCTGCTACTCCCAATATGAACTTGGATTCTGCAGGATGTGTTGCTGCTGGCTCTGCTGCGATCGCTGGTGAAGTCAAGTCTCGACTGCATCCTACCGCTGGTAACCGCATTCTGCCACTGGTAACCTCATTCTGCCACTGGTAACCGCATTCTGCCGCTTATGGTATCATCACATCCCACTGTTCTTCTCAGTAGTACCCTTCTAAACGCTGTCGCTGCCATACTTATCAATAGGATTACATATTGCATCTGTAACAAGCACTATCCAAGTGTTCTTTAATGTCTCTCATCAATGCATGATGAATCGTGTTCCGTCTCTTACCTTCTGTGTCCCACTGTTTACCCACGTCCCTCCTGTCCCTCCCCTCATCGCTCGAAAGACACCCTCCGCTGTGCCTGAAGTGGGGGAAGAAGCTGGGCCTGGAGTGTCAGCCAGTGGAGGAACTAACGAGGACAGATTGTAATCACCCCACCCCCCTCCCCTACCAATCGCAGGTCCTGCAATGCCTGTCAACAATCATTTCTCGAAAGACACCCTCAGCTGCCCCTGAAGCGGGGGACGAACCTGGGACTGGAGTGTCAGCCAGTGGAACAGGCGGGGCCGAAGGGATGGCCAGTGGCTATGGGAGTGAGGGTGGGAGTAATGGTGGAGATGCAGGTGGTGGTACAGTGGGTGCAGCCGAAAAGGTCGAGAATGCGGAGAGGGAGATTCGGGGGCTTTCCCAGTTCAAGCTGCCGCCTCTGGAGGTACTATGGGTGGGGATCTAGTTGGCTTTTGATTCGATCCAAAAGTCACCACCTGGGGGTACCAAGGGTGTGAACCTGGTAGTGTACTTTTTAGTCAGCTTAAAAGTCACCAGGGGGGGTACTAGCAAGGGGTGGACCATGTGGTATATCCGCTGTGTGATTCGTGACTCTGCTTTGCTCGAACTTGGGGGCGTTTGTCTCTCTGCACCGTGGTACCACCTTTTTTCAAGTATGCACTTGCTGTCCGTTGCTCTATCTCCTTCTTCCTTCTTCCCAGGAGCTTCTACCTCGGTTGCTTGTTCTGCTTGGAAGTGACAAAACACTCTCTGATGCACCACGGAGGATGAGAATCTTCCAGGTAACTTCCTTACCTCGTATGGCCTCCTCTCCTGTATGACTAGTCAAGGCATAATAAAAGCTTCCCATACCACTCGGCCGCCTTCCTAGTCTCCAGCCTTCCAGCACCCCTCTCATCTGAACCAATCAAATGAGAAGTTATTTTAAAGAGAAGAGGATCGGCTTAAAAGAGCGCTCCTCTTGCTTTCCAGCCTTTAAACACCTCACTTTGTAGCGTCTAAGATGGTTACCCTGCCTTTGTCTTGTAACTGATTATTGGCAGGCAAACAGGGCTCAATTCTCAGCGTCTTGCCCGAGTGTCGGAATACCCAAATATGGCACACAACCAACAATTCACTCTGTTACCCAAACATGGCACACATCCAACAATTCTCCGTGATTCTTCTTACTCTGTTCTACTTCGATATTTCCTTTGATACTTTTGCAGGTCCTTGAGTTTGTTCGCCAGAGCACTCTGCCTTCTGCGTTCGAGTCGCTCGCTCTCGACGTAAGCCCACTTGCTCTTGCCTGGTCTGCTCGTTGTGTTCTATTCGTGACTTTTCCCGTGCTCCTCTGGGGTTGCATGCCTCTGTTTCCGCAAACTATCGCTTTGCTACCCCCCGCCTCCCCTATCGCATTTCTCTCCGAGAATGAACCCTTTTTGTTTTCTGTTTCTTGCCACCTCTTCCTCACTTCCCACCCACCCCTTTTTCACGAGATCGAGCACTTGAAGCACATAGCAGAACCCTTGAACCTCTTTCCCTCCTTACCTCTTTTCTACCCCCTCTTCCCTCCTTCCCTCTTCTCCACTGTCCTTTCCCTCATTCCGATTCCCCTTGCCCATCAGATCGAGCACATGACGCACTTAGCAGAGCGCCTGGGGAACAAACAGTCTCTGGAGGGCAGAAGAGCTGTTTGGCAGGACGCCACAATGAAGGTAATTAACCCTTTCCAGAGCACAAGGAAAACAGTTTGGCAGGGTTCCAAGGTGAAGGCAATGAGGAAGCTTGTTATGAGATTGCTGGGTTCCAAAAAATTGGCAGGGTTCCAAAAAATTGGCAGGGTTCCAAAAAATTGCTGGATGAAGGTAATGAAGAAGCTGGTTATACGGTTATGAGCACCATTTGTTCGTGGAGGTTCGGTTCGGATCGTCTCTGATTTTTTTTAAATGTGACGTGTTTATTTGAGCACCATTCGGACTGTATCTTGTGTTTATTTAAAGGTCGAGCAGGGCCAGATGTCGTTCTCCATGTGTGGAGTGGAGTGTTCACTCTCCTCAGATGCCCAAGGGATCAGTTGTATTTAAAACTCTCCTAGAACACCTGTGGGCATCATGTCATATTATTCTTCTCCTCAGATGCTCAAGTTTTGAGGCGCCTCGAAAGTTGTCTTCCTGAATACTCTCCTAGAACACCTGTGTGCATCAAATATCATTCTTGTCCCCAGATGCTGAAGAGAGCAATCGACGCGGTGAACCATGCCGACTGGACCGCGCGGGTGTGTGACGGCTTTGCTGCCTTCTACTTGTGGCCGTGCATGGATGCAAGTCAACACATCCTGCTGCACCGGTGGGTGGGTTACTGCTTTCTGTAGCGAACATCCATGGATGCATGTATGTGTGCGTGGCACATTGTATTGGGCTGGATTGCTGTTTGCCCGCTTCGCCGCCTTCTACCTATGGCCGTGCATGGACTCAAGCTAACACATCCTGCTGCACAGGTGGGTTACTGCTTTCCCAATTGATTACTCGTGCATGCGTTTGTGTGGTGCATTACATTGTATCGGACTGGACGGGTGTTTGGCGGCTTTGCTGCCTTTTACTTGTGGCCGTGCATGGACGCAAGACAACACATCCTGCTGTACAGGTGGGTTGGTTACGTTTCTCCGTAGTTATTGTTTGTGTATGTGTGTGCGTAGCACGCTGTATGGAAATGGGTTTGGTGGGTGTGTGACGGCTTTGCTGCCTTTTACCTGTGGCCGTGCATGGACGCAAGCTAACACATCCTGCTGCACCGGTGTTTTACTCAACTACCCAGGATAATCATACGCACGCATATGAGCATACGTTCACTATTCTCTTAGTGATAAACTCAACCAAAGTTCACAAATTTTCTCTCACGTTCCTTTCCCCCTCCTGCCTCCCCCACACCAGGTGCATGGGGGCGCTTGTCCAGCGGGCGGCAGACTCCGTCTTCATTCAGCGCCGGGTGGCGCTCATGTTTGACTCTGCCGCCCTCTCTGACCCCCTCGACCGGCACGCCCTTGCCATGGGGCTTGGCACAGTGAGTCTCTCCTTTCCTCTTCTCAGGGGGCTCGGCACTGTGAGCTTCTCCTTTCTTCTTCTCAGTCCTCTGCTGTTAGTGGGGCTTGGCTTGGCACGTTGAATCTGTTTTTTTTTTTTTTTTTTTTTTTTTTTTTTTTTTTTTTCTCTCTCTCTGTTTTTTTTTATAATTCTCAAAAAACAGACTCTGCTGTGAGTGGGGCTTGGCACGTTGGCTCTCTTTGCAGCAAGTCCGCAACTCCTACTCTGTCTCCAACCTGCAGCCTGCAGCAGTGTGTTGCCTTCTCTCTGCTCACTCAACTCCCACTATGTCCTGTCCCATGTTTCCTCTCTCTCTGCAGGTGGCGGCAGTGCATCTCGATGTGGTGTTAGCCACCTTAGAAGAAGTCCTTGACTCCTACTCCGTCTCCAACCTGCAGCTCTCTGTTGCCGTGCCTTCTTTGTGTGTCTTTTTCACCCTTCTCTCTGCAGGTGGCGGCAGTGCATCTCGATGTGGTGTTGGCCACTTTGGAACAAGTCCTTGACTCCTACTCTGTCTCCAATCTGCAACGGTATGTTTCCTCCCCCCTTTTTTCTTTACTTCTTCTTTGTGTAATAAATCATATCAGAATGTGATGTCTTTTCATAAGAGTGATGTAGTATACTAAGCTACTTGGCCATTAGCCTGTCCCAAATCCCCCTCCCTTTCCTGTTACTTTCTCATCGCTTTCATCCCCTGCCTGGAATTCCATTGCTCACAGCACATATATACCTGTTTCTGTTAGGATCCTTGGCTCCCATTCGGTCGTCTTCTGTGAGAAGACAACTTTTTGGACATCACAAAACCTTCTCCTATCGTTCTCCATGCGCTTTTTTCCCTTCCTCGCAGCATATACCAGTTTGTCAAAACCCTCGGCAATCAATCGGCCATCTTCATCCCCAAAACCTCCTCCTCTTCCTCTTCCGCCTCCTCCTCCGCTTCCTCGGCCCCCAAGGTCGCTCTCCCGCCTCTCGAGCGCCTATTCAAGAAGGAGACTGCCACGTCAGCAGCTGCTGACTTCCTCCGGGACCCGCTGATGCATGATGACGTGTGCGCTGCGCTGGCGCTGATGTACCGGTACACGGTGGCCTTCTCAGAAGCTTCTGTGGTGGATTCGCGAATCAGAACATTGCTGGTCAGTTGAATTCCCATAGGAGCTGTCAGTTGGTGATGACTTGATGCTGTAAGTTGTCAGATGTCTGACTACATGTATCCTCCTGATGATCGTGGAATCCATTTTTGAGAATTCTCAAAAGTCGCACCAATATGCTGTAAGTTATCAGATGACTGTCCTTACATGTATCAGTTTTGAGGCGCCTCAAAACTTGACTTGATGCTATAAGTTGTCAGATGACTGACTACATGTATCCTCCTGATGATCGTGGAATCCATTTTTGAGAATTCTCAAAAGTCGCACCAATATGCTGTAAGTTATCAGATGACTGTCCTTACATGTATCAGTTTTGAGGCGCCTCAAAACTTGACTTGATGCTATAAGTTGTCAGATGACTGACTACATGTATCCTCCTGATGATCGTGGAATCCATTTTTGAGAATTCTCAAAAGTCGCACCAATATGCTGTAAGTTATCAGATGACTGTCCTTACATGTATCAGTTTTGAGGCGCCTCAAAACTTGACTTGATGCTATAAGTTGTCAGATGACTGACTACATGTATCCTCCTGATGATCGTGGAATCCATTTTTGAGAATTCTCAAAAGTCGCACCAATATGCTGTAAGTTATCAGATGACTGTCCTTACATGTATCAGTTTTGAGGCGCCTCAAAACTTGACTTGATGCTATAAGTTGTCAGATGACTGACTACATGTATCCTCCTGATGATCGTGGAATCCATTTTTGAGAATTCTCAAAAGTCGCACCAATATGCTGTAAGTTATCAGATGACTGTCCTTACATGTATCAGTTTTGAGGCGCCTCAAAACTTGACTTGATGCTATAAGTTGTCAGATGACTGACTACATGTATCCTCCTGATGATCGTGGAATCCATTTTTGAGAATTCTCAAAAGTCGCACCAATATGCTGTAAGTTATCAGATGACTGTCCTTACATGTATCAGTTTTGAGGCGCCTCAAAACTTGACTTGATGCTATAAGTTGTCAGATGACTGACTACATGTATCCTCCTGATGATCGTGGAATCCATTTTTGAGAATTCTCAAAAGTCGCACCAATATGCTGTAAGTTATCAGATGACTGTCCTTACATGTATCAGTTTTGAGGCGCCTCAAAACTTGACTTGATGCTATAAGTTGTCAGATGACTGACTACATGTATCCTCCTGATGATCGTGGAATCCATTTTTGAGAATTCTCAAAAGTCGCACCAATATGCTGTAAGTTATCAGATGACTGTCCTTACATGTATCAGTTTTGAGGCGCCTCAAAACTTGACTTGATGCTATAAGTTGTCAGATGACTGACTACATGTATCCTCCTGATGATCGTGGAATCCATTTTTGAGAATTCTCAAAAGTCGCACCAATATGCTGTAAGTTATCAGATGACTGTCCTTACATGTATCAGTTTTGAGGCGCCTCAAAACTTGACTTGATGCTATAAGTTGTCAGATGACTGACTACATGTATCCTCCTGATGATCGTGGAATCCATTTTTGAGAATTCTCAAAAGTCGCACCAATATGCTGTAAGTTATCAGATGACTGTCCTTACATGTATCAGTTTTGAGGCGCCTCAAAACTTGACTTGATGCTATAAGTTGTCAGATGTCTGACTACATGTATCCTCCTGATGATCGTGGAATCCATTTTTGAGAATTCTCAAAAGTCGCACCAATATGCTGTAAGTTATCAGATGACTGTCCTTACATGTATCAGTTTTGAGGCGCCTCAAAACTTGACTTGATGCTATAAGTTGTCAGATGTCTGACTACATGTATCCTCCTGATGATCGTGGAATCCATTTTTGAGAATTCTCAAAAGTCGCACCAATATGCTGTAAGTTATCAGATGACTGTCCTTACATGTATCAGTTTTGAGGCGCCTCAAAACTTGACTTGATGCTATAAGTTGTCAGATGTCTGACTACATGTATCCTCCTGATGATCGTGGAATCCATTTTTGAGAATTCTCAAAAGTCGCACCAATATGCTGTAAGTTATCAGATGACTGTCCTTACATGTATCAGTTTTGAGGCGCCTCAAAACTTGACTTGATGCTATAAGTTGTCAGATGTCTGACTACATGTATCCTCCTGATGATCGTGGAATCCATTTTTGAGAATTCTCAAAAGTCGCACCAATATGCTGTAAGTTATCAGATGACTGTCCTTACATGTATCAGTTTTGAGGCGCCTCAAAACTTGACTTGATGCTATAAGTTGTCAGATGACTGACTACATGTATCCTGATGATCGTGCAATCCATCCCCACACCGGCCTTAGCTGCTTCTTCCCTCGTACTCCCTGTTTGTTCCATCTTGCTCTTGTACCAACCCCACCCCTTGCCACTATCCATGCAGGATGCGAACGTGTTTGCTCCCTTGGCTGCAGTGACGTCTATCCCAGCCAAGACAGCAGTGGTTCAATCCATCCTCACACTCGCCTCCGCTGCTCTGTGCCCTCCCACGCTCTCTTCCCTCTCACACCCCGTTTCTGCCCACTCTTCTTCCCCCCTTTCCCCTATGCCCTATCAATGCAGGATGCGAATGTGTTTGCTCCCTTGGCTGCAGTGACATCCCTCCCAGCCAAGACAGCTGTGGTTCAATCCATCCTCACACTCGCCTCTGCTGCTCTCACTGCCCCTCCATCCGCTCTCACCACCCCTCCACCGCCCCATTCAAGTGCTTACCCAGCTGCCCATTTAGCCCCAGTCCTTTCGACTTCAACAAGTCATGTAACGGCCTCCTCCATACCACAAACCACCGCCATCAATCTCAAGAGCCGCGACGATCTTATCAGCTGCTGCCTCCATTTTCTCCCGCCGATTCCTTCTCCAACCCCTCTCGCACCACCCTCCGTATCCTCTTCCTCCTCCTCGTCCTCTTCCACCTCCTCCCCTCTACCCACCTCCTCCTCTTTGGCTTCATACGCTTCTTCCACCTCATTCTTCCAGTCGCCTCTCGCCGCGCCTACTCCCGGACCAACGAGCACCTCTGTACCAGCCGCAGCCCCAGGCTCGGGTGTAGGCTCGGGCTCGGGTTCGGCAGCAGGTGGTGTTGCTGCGCCGAGGTTTATAGTAAGGATAAGGGGAGCTGGTGGCGCGGATGGGGGCGCAGGGGGAGCGGGAGGGGGAGGGGGAGTGGGTGGAGGAGGGGGAGGGGGAGGGGCATACGTGTTAGGGGAGGAGGAGGTGCGGCTTCAGATGGCGTGTGTGCGGGCGTGCACAGCCCTGATTCAGTCTCACCCACAGCTCACTTCAGCTGTTCGCAAGAGCGTGCAGGTGAGCAAGCATAGTGTGGTGCAGGTGAGAAGTAGGCACTTGGCAGTTAGAGGGGGAGGGGCATACGTGTTAGGGGAAGAGGAGGTGCGGCTTCAGATGGCATGTGTGCGGGCGTGCACGGCTTTGATTCAGTCTCATCCACAGCTCACTTCAGCCGTTCGCAAGAGTGTGCAGGTGAGCAGAGGGGCAGGTGAACAAGCATCGGTGCAGGTGAGGTTAAGTTCGGGTGATTGGCACTGTTTCATCTCAATGGCTCTCAACCCCTCTTGATCTCTCTCACTCCCATCTCAATAGCTCTCAACCTCTTTCCACCTCTTCCAGGCGGTCACTCCACTGCTGTGCATTGACGACTCACCATTGGCTGGTCGTGTGAAAGGAGAGAGGGGACTGGGGAGAGGAAGAGGAGAAGGGGGGATTGGTACAGTGGATGTGGAGGGAGGGGGCGGAGGAGAGGGGAGGGAGGAGCGAGAGGGGTCGAGCACAAGTAGTTCGGACAGTGAGAGTGGCTCTGACGAGGATGGGGAGAAAATGAGGAGGAAAGAAAGGGGGGAGAAGAGGGCGAGGAGGACTGGCGCGAGAGAGAGGAGGGGTCAGCGGAAGCAGCTTGGCCCATTGGCAGTTAGTGTCATCTCTCTACTGTGTAGCGTGCTACAGATGAGGTGAGCTGCTACAGATGAGGTGAGCTACATACAGTTTTGGTGGCAGGGGCAAGGATGGCAAGGAGGACGAGGAAGAGCTACAGCACAAGCCCTGCATGCGCTTATGTAGACACGCACCACATGCCACCGCATGCCACCACATGCCACCGCATGCCACCACATGCCACCACATGTCACCACACCCCTAACCCCAACTCCCTCATCATCCTCCTCTTCCTAATCTCTAATGGTCCACGCATTGATATAGTGGAAAGGTACAAACATGCAGAGTATGAATCAATGAATCAACAACAAACTTCCTAATCCCTCTCCCTCTGCCTCTCCCTCGTCCTCTCCCTCTTCTTGCAGAAATATGGATAGCAAGAGGTTGCAGAGCAGCTACAGACCATGCTCTCTCCCTCCTCCTTGTTCTCATCTCGTTATGCTGCAAACTGTTTTTCAGATTTCTCGAGAACAATCTTTTGAGTCGACTTCAAAAGTCACAGACCATTCTCTCCCTCCTCCTTGTTCTCAATACCGCATCCAACTAGCTATCATATGCGACAACCCCCTCTCCATCTTCCCATATCTCTGTTTTTCCTCTCTCTTCTCGCAGCAACGTGGACAGCAAGGAGGAGGAGGAGCAGCTGCAGATCATGCTCTCCCTTCTCCGCCCCCTCCTCTCCCTCCTCCTCCCACCCCCTCCTCCCCAGTCCTCCTCCCACCTACCCTCAGCCCTCAACCCTACCACTCTCCTATCCTCCGCATTCCCTTCCAACACCGCTCCACCCAGTAGCACCCATCCTAACCCAGCAGCACCACTTCAAACCCAAGCAGGTAGCAAGCCTGGGAGTAAGCCCAGCAGCAAACCTACCAGAAAGCCTAGCAGCCAGCCAGGGAGCCCTGGCCCTCGGGCAAGAGGGAAATCAAACCTGGGGGGTGCAGCAGGAGGAGGGGAGAGAGGAGGGGGAGAGGAGGGAGGGGGGGGAGCAGGGGAACGGGAGAGAGAAACTGGAGAGGCGGAAGCAGCATCAGCAGTGGAGGTAGTTGCATCGGCGCAGCAGCGGGTGCTGACAGCGTACCTGGCAGTGTGTGCCCAGTTCCATTCTCTGGCACTTGGAGATGAGGGGCTGCTGGGTTGTTGTAAGGAACAAGTTTGCGGCTTTCTCGAAGCTAGCAGTGGTGGAGTGCGGTACACGGAAATGCAGCAAGGTACGCATGACACATAACAAGATTGGTCAAGGGGTGTGCTCTAGTGACAGCGTACCTTGCAGTGTGTGCCCAGTTCCATGCGCTGGCACTTGGGGAGCAGAGGCTGCCTGGTTGGTCTGAAGAAGGCATTGTAAGCCAAAACCAGTTACCACCGAAGTTTTACACAAGAATTTTTCTACAATGTACTACCAACAACTACTGGTGTTGAATCCTAAGTTGCTGCCACGTATGAGCCCAATGGCACCTAACTGGTGTCCTCTTCCATCGCGCCCCTCGCTCAATCTCGGGCATCACGTGGCCGTCGTTCTGCCGTTCTGCGCCATCGTGTTTCGAGGCACCTCAGAGCACTCTCTCTGAATCCTCTCCTCCTTCCTTCCCAACACCCCCTCCCCTTTTTTCCCAGCTCACACCCCCCCATCACGCCCCTCCCTCAATCTCGGGCATCACGTGGCTGTCGTTCTGCCCTTCTGTGCCAATGGTGACCCCACACTCCAACTGCTCGGCTGCAAGGTAGCTTTTTATATTATCATCATTTTCAGAACATGCCTGCAACAGCAAATCCCTTGCGCCAATGTGGACCCCACGCTCCAACTGTTTGTTGCAAGGTCACCCTTTCCTCCTTCGTAAGCCGCTGTTTTCCCCCTGGATTTTTGCTTCCATCCACCTCCGCTACTCCACCTCTTTCCTTCCTCTTTCTCTCCCCTCTCTTGCGCCTCGCCTTGAGTTCCAATCAGTGCCATAGTAACGAGGTGACTGTTGAGTCGACTCAAAAGTCTCCTCTTTCTCTCCCCTCTCTTGCGCCTCGCCTTGAGTTCCAATCAGTGCCATAGTAACGAGGTGACTGTTGAGTCGACTCAAAAGTCTCCTCTTTCTCTCCCCTCTCTTGCGCCTCGCCTTGAGTTCCAATCAGTGCCATAGTAAGGAGGTGACTGTTGAGTCGACTCAAAAGTCTCCTCTTTCTCTCCCCTCTCTTGCGCCTCGCCTTGAGTTCCAATCAGTGCCATAGTAACGAGGTGACTGTTGAGTCGACTCAAAAGTCTCCTCTTTCTCTCCCCTCTCTTGCGCCTCGCCTTGAGCTCCAATCAGTGCCATAGTAACGAGGTGACTGTTGAGTCGACTCAAAAGTCTCCTCTTTCTCTCCCCTCTCTTGCGCCTCGCCTTGAGTTCCAATCAGTGCCATAGTAACGAGGTGACTGTTGAGTCGACTCAAAAGTCTCCTCTTTCTCTCCCCTCTCTTGCGCCTCGCCTTGAGCTCCAATCAGTGCTATAGTAACGGGGTGACTGTTGAGTCGACTCAAAAGTCTCCTCTTTCTCTCCCCTCTCTTGCGCCTCGCCTTGAGTTCCAATCAGTGCCATAGTAACGAGGTGACTGTTGAGTCGACTCAAAAGTCTCCTCTTTCTCTCCCCTCTCTTGCGCCTCGCCTTGAGTTCCAATCAGTGCCATAGTAACGAGGTGACTGTTGAGTCGACTCAAAAGTCTCCTCTTTCTCTCCCCTCTCTTGCGCCTCGCCTTGAGTTCCAATCAGTGCCATAGTAACGAGGTGACTGTTGAGTCGACTCAAAAGTCTCCTCTTTCTCTCCCCTCTCTTGCGCCTCGCCTTGAGTTCCAATCAGTGCCATAGTAACGAGGTGACTGTTGAGTCGACTCAAAAGTCTCCTCTTTCTCTCCCCTCTCTTGCGCCTCGCCTTGATTTCCAATCAGTGCCATAGTAACGAGGTGACTGTTGAGTCGACTCAAAAGTCTCCTCTTTCTCTCCCCTCTCTTGCGCCTCGCCTTGAGTTCCAATCAGTGCCATAGTAACGAGGTGACTGTTGAGTCGACTCAAAAGTCTCCTCTTTCTCTCCCCTCTCTTGCACCTCGCCTTGAGTTCCAATCAGTGCCATAGTAACGAGGTGACTGTTGAGTCGACTCAAAAGTCTCCTCTTTCTCTCCCCTCTCTTGCGCCTCGCCTTGAGTTCCAATCAGTGCCATAGTAACGAGGTGACTGTTGAGTCGACTCAAAAGTCTCCTCTTTCTCTCCCCTCTCTTGCGCCTCGCCTTGAGCTCCAATCAGTGCCATAGTAACGAGGTGACTTTTGAGTCGACTCAAAAGTCTCCTCTTTCTCTCCCCTCTCTTGCGCCTCGCCTTGAGTTCCAATCAGTGCCATAGTAACGAGGTGACTGTTGAGTCGACTCAAAAGTCTCCTCTTTCTCTCCCCTCTCTTGCGCCTCGCCTTGAGTTCCAATCATCCTGCTCCCTGCCATTCCAGTTTTCTGCACATCTGTCAATCTGTCATTCTGCCAATCTGTCATTCTGCCATTGCACCAGTCTGCCAACTTGCCATCCTGCCACCCCCCATCCCCTCATCCCACCAGGTGGTTCTGCTGCTGCTGACCACAGCTGTCGCCCTCTCCTCTCCACCTGAGGCCTCCTGCGTTTCTCCTGACAACCCACCTGAGGTTTCATCACAATCAGCCCATTCCCCCCCAGCCTCTCCCTCCTCCTCTCTGCCTGTCTCCACTCACCCTGCCACCCACCAATTAGACGAAACCACCGAAACCAGCAGTCAGCAGGAAGAGCAGTCAACAGCAGCAACGGCAGCAGCAGCAGCAGCAGCAGCAGCAGCAGCAGCAGCAGCAGCAGCAGCAGCTGGTCCGAGAGCTTCTTCTGAGTCTCCTTCCTCCCATTCCTCCTCTCAACCGACTCACTCCTCCCTCCTTGCTGCTCTGGAAGCGAAGGTCTCTGCAGTGTCGCATCAGGTGGGGAAGCTTATAGTGGGGATGGGTTGGGCGGTACTACGTGTATGCAACACCTGCAACGTTGCATGAGGCGTGTATGCAACACCTGCAACGTTGCATGAGGCGTGTATGCAACACCTGCAACGTTGCATGAGGCGTGTGTGCAACACCTGCAACGTTGCATGAGGCGTGTGTGCAAAACCCTGAATGCTGGGGGGGCTGTGAGGCGTTACTTCCTGCTCCTCCATGCTGCGGGTTCTCCTCCCTTCACCCTGAAAGGCTCGTCCGGAGATTCTCTAAGCTGCCTCAAAGGCTGTGCTGCTGGTTCCACCTCACCCTACTTCACCCTTCGGCCTGCAGGGCTCGTCACAGGGGGAGATGGTGGAGGGGTCGTCGGAGGAACGACGGGCGGTGCTTTTCGCCGCTGCTGTGGAGTGCGTTGCACATGTGCTGACAGCTGATGAGGTGAGGGGGAGGGGGAGGGGCACGACGTTAATGGAAAGATGCTTGTGTACTAGGGAAGAGGTAGATGGGAGACCTCTGACATAATTCCAGTGAGCAGCAGTGCCTAGGTTTAGGCTTAAGCAAGTAGCCTAAACCTAGGCACTGCTGCTCACTGGAATTATGTCAGAGGATCTGCTTGTGTACTAGGGAAGAGGTAGATGGGAGACGGTCACTTCAGTTTGACGCTGCTGTGGAGTGCGTTGCGTTGCATCACCGCTCCTCCTCACCTCATCAGCCGTCAGCTCATGCGCAGCGCACTCCACAGCAGCGTCGAAAATCACTCCCCCACACTGAAGTGCCACTCCTGGCAGCAGACGCCATTTTTCATGGTACCTGGTAGCCGCTCCACAAGCAACCCATTCCTCTGCATCACTTCCCTTCATACTCCCTTTTCCTTGTCACCAGGTGGCAGTGCTCCTCCTAGCAGCAGACGCGTTCCTTCACATCTCCTGCGCCAGCCACTGCCACTAGCTACCCATCAATTTACATCACTTCCCTTCATAATCCCTTTTCCTTGTCACCAGGTGGCAGTCCTCCTCCTAGCAGCAGACGCGTTCCTTCACATCTCCTGCGCCAGCCACTGCCACTAGCTACCCATCAATTTACATCACTTCCCTTCATAATCCCTTTTCCTTGTCACCAGGTGGCAGTCCTCCTCCTAGCAGCAGACGCGTTCCTTCACATCTCCTGCGCCAGCCACTGCCACTAGCTACCCATCAATTTACATCACTTCCCTTCATAATCCCTTCTCCTTGTCACCAGGTGGCAGTCCTACTCCTAGCAGCAGACGCGTTTCTCCACATTACTTGCGCCGGCCACTCCCCCTCCACCACCACAAGCACAAACCAGGGCAGCCAAGCACATAAGGACAGGGACAGAGGGTCTGTGCACTTGCAGGGCGCAGCAGCAGCGGAGTGTGAGTACGTGGGGAGTGTGGTGAGCCGGTGCATGGAAGCCGTGCTTCGAATCATCTCCCTCAGAGGCCACCAGGTGCAGCAGCAGGGGGAATCCGAGGTTGAGGAGGGTTCAGTGCAACCTGCACATGGGTCGAAGCAGCTGCTGCAGCAGGAGCGGGAGGATTTGGAGCAGCAGGGCAGGGCAGGGAGGATCATCGAGCGAGTTGTTGCAGCGTCGCTTGGTTGTCACTACAACTCTGCCCGGCTGCCTGCCTTTGCTGCGGTACGTGCTTTCATTCCAGGTCCTTCTGCTCCAGGCTCGCACAAACGTTCCACTTGGTTTTTAGGCTCTCCAAAACCCGCCCTTGAAATACGTGTGACTCATCGGCCTTCATTGGCCTTCATTAGACTCAGAATTGAACAAACCCTAACCTCATTGGCAGGCGTGCGCTCTATGGCTTCCTGCAATCCCTCTTCCTTGTTCCTCTGTGTGTTGTTCCTCTGTGTGTTGTTTCAACGAAGACTCATAATCTCCCAGTTTCTCTTCCTCGAACAAACCCTAACCCCTGCCAGGTCTGCTCTCTGGCGGCTGCCTGCGACCCCCCTGCCCTGTTCCGCTGCGTGCTGCAGCACGTGGAAGAAACTTCTGGGAAGCTGCCAGCCCTTGAAGAGCTTGTCGAGGTGCGGTGGGTGCGGTTGTGGGTTGTTGCAGGTTGGGGAGGCATTGCAAATATTGTGTGTGGAGTGGTGTGAAATGGTTCCAAATGTAAGCCTTCAGCAGTGCAACCATTGCTGCGAGTGCTCGACCATTTCTTCCCTTGTCGTCCCTCCCTCTCTCTGCAGAAGAGTACCCAGCATCCCTCGCTGGGTCCCCAGCTTTTCCACCAGCTTGTACCGAAGCTCACCCCAGGCTTCGACCCTGTTGGTGCAAGTTCCTACTCTCTAACACTTTGTTCTCCTTCCTTCTCTGTGCCTCCCTCTCGCCCTCGCTTTCTGCAGGAAATTGCTCGGCACCCGTCTCTCGGCCCCCAGCTCTTCCACCTGCTTCTGCCGAAGCTCATCCCTGGCTTCGATCCGGTTGGCCTGGTGGAAGGCTTGCATCAAGCAGCACAGCCACAATCACTGGTGCAGCAGCAAGGGAGTGAGCAGTCAGCAGCGCCACAAGGGGCTGGAGATGGAGCAGCAGAAGGCGTTCTTACAGAGGGGCAACAGGACGAATCTGCTGCATCAACAGCAGCGGAGCAGGCACAGCTGGGGAAGGCTGTATCTGAGGCTGCTGCTGCTGCTGCTGGTGGTGGTGCTGCCGCCGCTTCGCTCACCTTTGATCCAACCGCTACAGTTGCAGCTGCGGTGGTTGCTGCTGCCTCAAATGCAGGAAGGGCAAGGAGTGCAGGGAGTGTGGCGAGTGCAGGCAAGCCCTTCATCTACTCCTCTGGCTCTAAGGCTGCCATTCGAACTCTTGGGATCATGCTCAGGTGAGGGTTCTTGTAACGCGGCTTCAAAACGGCGGTGTAAGGAGTGTTGAGTGGGGAGGGTGGGGAGGGTGGGGAGGGTGGGGAGAGTGGGGAGGGTGGGGAGGGTGGGGAGGGTGGGGAGGGTGGGGAGGGTGGGGAGGGTGGGGAGGGTGGGGAGGGTGGGGAGGGTGGGGAGAGTGGGGAGGGTGGGGAGGGTGGGGAGGGTGGGGAGGGATGGCAGGGCAGGCACCCTTCTGCCAAACTCAACCAAGCAGCACTACCCTACACCTGCTGCTCCGCGCTCTCGCCATCGACACCATCGCCTCTTACCCCCTTTCGTTGTTGCTTCCTCCATCCTCCCTCTTCCCTGCAGGCACCCGTCCCCTGCAGGTGCTGCTTGGTACCAAGAGGCCTCAGCACCTGCTCCCTGCAGGCACCCGTCCCACGATCTCGAGCAAGCAGTGCTACCCTACACCATCCCCACCGTCCACACCCTACCTCTGCTGCTCTTTGCTCTCGCCATCGACACCGTCGCCTCTCACTCAAGGCTGCTCTCACCTTCCCTCTCTCCGTCCCTCTTTGTCCCGGCTTTCCTTCTCTCTCTTCCCATCAGGCACCCATCACCCAACCTCAAGCAAGCAGCACTGCCCTACACAATCCCCACCGTCCACACCCTTCACCTGCTGCTCTGTGCTCTCGCCATCGACACCATCGCCTCTCACCCTGAAGCTGCTCTCTCCTCCACCGGTCCCCTCAGCAAGAGAATCAACGATGCCATCACAGCAGCAGACGGAGGCCTCTGGTCCAGCGACCCCTTCCTGTGAGTGAGCTGCTTTGCCATGCGAGGCTACTCTCGCCTCCACCGCCATGGCTTCCACCGCCATGACGGCCCCATTAGATCTCCTACCTGAGGAAGAGATCGAATGGGGCCATCATGGCGGCACATGGAGGGCTGTGGCCCAGCGACCCATTCCTGTGAGTCAAATGCCGCCTCGCGCACATGCTCTCAGCCTTGTTCTCTGACTTGCTCTGGTGGGGAGCTGGCTCTAGGCAAGCTTATGAACTCCCTTGTCACCAGGCCGACCTGCTTTAGCCTCGTCTTCCCTTGCTCGTGTTCTCGTCGTCTTCTCTCCTCTGCGCCACCACGCCTATTCGCACCAACCTATCGTCACCACTCTGCACCACCCTATCTTCACCACTCTGCACCACCCTAGCTTCACCACTCTGCACCACCTTATCTACACCACTCTGTACCACTCTGCACCGTCATATCCATCTATCCCACTGTGCAGGCTGGTTTACGGCGCTCTCCGCTCTGTGGCTCAGTTCTTCAACCATCATCCTCTTATTGAGGTATGCTTCTCGCTCTTGCCTTTTTTCCTCGGGTTTCTTAATTCAGTCAAGGCTAATTTTGATCTAACTGGAATAAAATAATCTTTAGAATCCTTTTTGCATTACTTCCTGCTTGAATTCTTACACCCCCCTCCACAACCCTCCCCTCGCCAGGCCCTCGAAACCTTCTCACCCGAGAACGTGATTGAAGAGTAAACAACAGAAGGGGGTCGGGTCACCTGCAAAGTCAGGAGGAGTGAAATTGACATGTCACCTCCCTCCCTCCACACCCCTGCCTCCAGGCCCTCGAAACCTTCTCACCCGAGAACGTGCTTGAAGAGTAAACAACAGAAGGGGGTCGGGTCACCTGCAAAGTCAGGAGGAGTGAAACTGACATGTCACCTCCCTCCCTCCACACCCCTGCCTCCAGGCCCTCGAAACCTTCTCACCCGAGAACGTGCTTCAGGAGGGGGATACCAGTGAGAACGGGAGGAGCGGGATTGACGTGACTGTGGGGCAGCTGTCGGTGCTGTGTGGACTGGTGGCGGCGCTTGTGGGGGCCATGCTCTTTGAGGGAGAGCAGCAGGGTGATGAGGTGAGTAGCGGAGGAGGGAAAGGGAAGATCGGGATAGGCAGCACAGAGGGGCAGCTGTCGGTGCTGTGTGGACTGGTGGTGGCGCTTGTGGGGGCTATGCTAACTGGAGGGCGGCATGAGGTAGGTGTGGGGAGGGGAGGCTGGTTCTAGTTTTTTGTAAGTGGAATGGGAAGGAGGGGAGTGTAGTGTAGGGAATGGAGAGGGGGGGAAAAGTAGGCCGCAGAGGGCGGCAGGAGTCGGTGCTTTGCGGACTGGTGGAGGCCGTTGTGGGAGCCATTCTCACTGCGGAGGGGCATGAGGTACGTGGGGGGAGGGGAGGGGAGGGGGAGGGGAGAGAGAGGGAAGGGAGAGGGTGGAGGAAAGAGGGGGGGAAAGCGGATGTATCAATCCCTCCATCCAACGTCTCCATCCTCCCTTTCCCTCTCTGTGGCGGGAGGGAGAAGAGGGAAAGGGAGGTGCTGTCTCGCTCCCTCCCTCCTTTCCCTCTCTGCAGAGGGAGGGGGACACAGCACCTCCAGCCTTTCTTTGTGTCCCTCTGCAGCTGCTGTGTGTTGGGACGGTTCTCTCCCATTGCCGGTCCCACTGCCAAGTGCATTTGAGTTGACTCAAAAGAAGTGCATTCGTGCACCGGTCTGTACAAGTATATCACCGATGCTGCTCACGTTGAACAGCTGTGCCATATTCATCCCTCCCTCCCTCCCTCCCGCCCTACCTCTGTGCTCGATCTCAGGTGCTCTCTGTTGAGGCGTTTCTCGCCCAAGCCGTGGAGTGTGCTAGTGGGTTTAAGCACATCACTGATGCTGCTCACATTAGAACGGTTGTGCGCTTCCACCTCCTCTCCTTGTGTTCCACCCACTGCAGTTGCTACCCGTTGAGACGTTCCTCACCCAGGCTGTGGAGTGCACGAGTGTGTATAAATACATCACAGACGCTGCTCTCATGTGTCATGCCATGAGCCTGAGATGGAGGTAAATGGGCATGATATGCGCACATGCATGCATCTCTTACATCCATAGAGCGCCTCTGTGCCTGCACATGCTCATCACAGACGCTGCTCTGCTCTCATATGCCATGCCATGAGCGTGGGGTGGAGGTAAGGGGACACCATAAGGGACCAACCTATACACATGCATTGCTCACATGATTACCCGAATGGATCCATACACCGTCTGAGGCGCTTCTAAATGGAGCACCGTACGCACATACGCGACTTTCTCACCACTGCCTCCTTCCCTTCCCAGAAAGCACCCCCCTCTTTGCGTCTACGAGGTGACTTCTGAGTCGACTCAAAAGTCAAAACAGAGTACCATACGCACATACGCGACGTGACTTTTGAGTCGACTCAAACGTCAAAACGGAGCACCATACGCACATACGCGACTTTCTCGCCACTGCCTCCTTCCCATCCCAGAAAGCACTCCCCTCTTTGCGTCTACTCATAAACCCACCCACCAATGTGCTTTTGACGCGCATCAAAAGCAGACCCTTCATCTGATCTTTGAGTCTACTCATAGACCCACCAACGTGCTTCTGCCTCATCCCTCTTGCAGAACGGACGGTTTTGATTTGGAGGCAACAATAGCATGGCAGCTGGAGCGCTTCCAAGAAGCTTCCTCAGCTGCTCGAGCTGTCATCCTGCTTATACTCTCTAAGGTAACTCGTTTTGCACCAGACCTTTGCTGCCCTCACACACCTTGGCACACCTCCGCCCACCTCCACCCACCTCCACCCACCTCCACCCACCTCCATATACTGCTCCATGGTGGATCACATTCTCTACACCATCTCTCTCTCTCCCTACCATCATTGCAGCACCTGTAACACATTGCTGCAAACCTTCAATTACATTGGTATTTCAACAACTTAAAACTCGATTATGAGACTTCTCGTAAGACACTTGTGTTACATTACCCCTTTCCCCACGCCGTCCCGTCTGCCCTCCTCCCTTGCAGCAACCCCTGTCCTCCTCGTCCTCACCTTCCTCCATGGCTCATCGCATTCTTTCAACAGCTGCTCTCTCCCTGCAAAACTTTTGAGTCAACTCAAATTTCTTCCTGCGGCTGCTCTCTCCCTGCAAAACTTTTGAGTCAACTCAAATTTCTTCCTGCGGCTGCTCTCTCCCTGCAAAACTTTTGAGTCAACTCAAATTTCTTCCTGCAGCTGCTCTCTCCCTGCAAAACTTTTGAGTCAACTCAAATTTCTTCCTGCGGCTGCTCTCTCCCTGCAAAACTTTTGAGTCAACTCAAATTTCTTCCTGCGGCTGCTCTCTCCCTGCAAAACTTTTGAGTCAACTCAAATTTCTTCCTGCGGCTGCTCTCTCCCTGCAAAACTTTTGAGTCAACTCAAATTTCTTCCTGCGGCTGCTCTCTCCCTGCAAAACTTTTGAGTCAACTCAAATTTCTTCCTGCGGCTGCTCTCTCCCTGCAAAACTTTTGAGTCAACTCAAATTTCTTCCTGCGGCTGCTCTCTCCCTGCAAAACTTTTGAGTCGACTCAAATTTCTTCCTGCGGCTGCTCTCTCCCTGCAAAACTCGTGATACTGTACTGCTTTCCTCCCCGCTGTCTCTCCACTCCCCGCTACTTGCCCCTCCCTTGCAGCTCCCCCAGTCCTCGTCCCCACCACCCCCCGTGGCTCATCGCATTCTTTCTACTGCCTCGCTTTCCTTGCAAGACCCGAGCGCCATGGTCTCACTCGCTGCTGCCATTTGCACGCACCAGGTATGGCACATGGCAGCATGGCACATAGAAGCATGCACTCATCACTGCTTGTCTGCTGCAGCACTCTACTGCTCTCTCCCTGCTACACCCAAGCGCCATGGTCTCACTCGCTGCTACCATCTGTACCCACCAGGTATGGTATTTCTATCACACGTGGTGTATGGCATTTCTATCACACGTGGTGTATGGCATTTCTATCACACGTGGTGTATGGCATTTCTATCACACGTGGTGTATGGCATTTCTATCACACGTGGTGTATGGCATTTCTATCACACGTGGTGTATGGCATTTCTATCACACGTGGTGTATGGCATTTCCATCACACGTGGTGTATGGCATTTCCATCACACGTGGTGTATGGCATTTCTATCACACATGGTGTATGGCATTTCTATCACACGTGGTGTATGGCATTTCTATCACACGTGGTGTATGGCATTTCTATCACACGTGGTGTATGGCATTTCTATCACACGTGGTGTATGGCATTTCCATCACACGTGGTGTATGGCATTTCTATCACACGTGGTGTATGGCATTTCTATCACACGTGGTGTATGGCATTTCTATCACACGTGGGGTATGGCACATGTACATAGAAATTGTCATAGCTTGGTAAAGGAGAACCTCCCATGGTAACGGGGCTCTCAGTTCAATTAAGACACATGGCACATAGCACATGTCACATTGCTTTCCCCTTCGAGGTGACTTTTGAGTCGACTCTAAAGTCGAGTCGACTCAAAAGTTGGCTCTCAGTCCAATTAAGACACATGGCACATAGCACATGTCACATTGCTTTCCCCTTCTCCTCGTTCCCCCCACCCCAACCTTCCCCGTCCGTCCCTCCCTCTCTCAGTGTCTCTCCCAGTGCAGCTTTCCGGCCAATCAGGCGCTCCCAGCTGCCACCATCCTCCAATCAACGCGAGCTATCATGGTAAGGATTAAATTCAGTGAGGAAACGCCAAGTGCGTCTCTGGTCGGGAATGAACCAGTGAGGTCTCTGCCATAATGCCATTCTACAACTATCGTATAAGCACTTTGCTGTACGTCACTTTGCGGGAGAAAGAATGGTATAAAGGAGGATTGCACATGTTTTTTCTCGCTCCTTGCAGAGGGACCGTGCGCCCCAAGCCCAGGCCGCAGCAGCGTGGATGGTGGTTGCACTGGCAAGCAGGCCTGGTAGCGATCTTACCTCTTCTCACTGCTTCTCCCTTGCTGCTTGCAGAGGGACCGTGCGCCCCAAGCCCAGGCCGCAGCAGCGTGGATGGTGGGTGCACTGGCAAGCAGGCCTGGTAGCGATCTTACCTCTTCTCACTGCTTCTCCCTCGCTGCTTGCAGAGGGACCGTGCGCCCCAAGCCCAGGCCGCAGCAGCGTGGATGGTGGGTGCACTGGCAAGCAGGCCTGGTAGCGATCTTACCTCTTCTCACTGCTTCTCCCTTGCTGCTTGCAGAGGGACCGTGCGCCCCAAGCCCAGGCCGCAGCAGCGTGGATGGTGGGTGCACTGGCAAGCAGGCCTGGTAGCGATCTTACCTCTTCTCACTGCTTCTCCCTCGCTGCTTGCAGAGGGACCGTGCGCCCCAAGCCCAGGCCGCAGCAGCGTGGATGGTGGGTGCACTGGCAAGCAGGCCTGGTAGCGATCTTACCTCTTCTCACTGCTTCTCCCTTGCTGCTTGCAGAGGGACCGTGCGCCCCAAGCCCAGGCCGCAGCAGCGTGGATGGTGGGTGCACTGGCAAGCAGGCCTGGTAGCGATCTTACCTCTTCTCACTGCTTCTCCCTCGCTGCTTGCAGAGGGACCGTGCGCCCCAAGCCCAGGCCGCAGCAGCGTGGATGGTGGGTGCACTGGCAAGCAGGCCTGGTAGCGATCTTACCTCTTCTCACTGCTTCTCCCTTGCTGCTTGCAGAGGGACCGTGCGCCCCAAGCCCAGGCCGCAGCAGCGTGGATGGTGGGTGCACTGGCAAGCAGGCCTGGTAGCGATCTTACCTCTTCTCACTGCTTCTCCCTCGCTGCTTGCAGAGGGACCGTGCGCCCCAAGCCCAGGCCGCAGCAGCGTGGATGGTGGGTGCACTGGCAAGCAGGCCTGGTAGCGATCTTACCTCTTCTCACTGCTTCTCCCTTGCTGCTTGCAGAGGGACCGTGCGCCCCAAGCCCAGGCCGCAGCAGCGTGGATGGTGGGTGCACTGGCAAGCAGGCCTGGTAGCGATCTTACCTCTTCTCACTGCTTCTCCCTTGCTGCTTGCAGAGGGACCGTGCGCCCCAAGCCCAGGCCGCAGCAGCGTGGATGGTGGGTGCACTGGCAAGCAGGCCTGGTAGCGATCTTACCTCTTCTCACTGCTTCTCCCTAGCTGCTTGCAGAGGGACCGTGCGCCCCAAGCCCAGGCCGCAGCAGCGTGGATGGTGGGTGCACTGGCAAGCAGGCCTGGTAGCGATCTTACCTCTTCTCACTGCTTCTCCCTCGCTGCTTGCAGAGGGACCGTGCTCCCCAAGCCCAGGCTGCAGCAGCGTGGATGGCAGGCGCGCTGGCAAGCAGTCTCCTGAGGCAGCAGAAGCTGCAGCGTGAACCCAGCGGTGGGGATGAGTGCAGTGAGCAGCCCCCGCCAAGCACTGCAGAATGCTCAAGAACAGAGCTGCAAGATATTGAGCCTGAGGTGGGTTGGATGACCCTGAATTCCAAACCTTCAAGCCACAATCGTTCTTTCCTGTACCTCTGCCTTTTTTTTTTTCATAAGTATCATGATAACAGCACTGCACCCATTGTCTCTAGTCTGATTCCAAGGCTGGCTCTTGGATGCGCATCACATGCCTGTTTCCTTCTGTTGCGCGTTCGTTTCTGCTTCAGCCTGCATCCTTTCCAGTTCACACTGGTTGCTTTGCATACTCAATGTGGAAACTCGTTTTGCCCACACAACGAACTTAACCATGTGGTCTGGTGTCGTACTGCGACTGCATGCCGAGCCTGTTGTTCAGGTTCGGGAAACAATGACAACCCTGTGGTTCTTATCGGAGCATCAACCGGACCTAGTCACAAGCGCATGCAAGGTATAATTCCAATCAAGGAGCACAAGCACATAGCGTTGCATGTTCCTGCTCTCATGGATGTTTCACACCCATGCATGTAGTTAGCACCTCACCTCAACCCCCACGCGAGGCTCATGGATATATCTCTTTCACAACATGCCCCCGCCCCTCCACACAACCTTTGAGACATCTCAAAAACATGTCTCTCTCCCAATGCCCCTCGTGCTGTGTGCTGCAGGCATCATCTTACTCCCTGGCTCGGCTTCTGAGGTCCGATCAAGGCGATGAGTCCACCCACCAACCGTTGATGTGAGTGTTGAGGAATCTCACCCCCTTCGTGAATTTCAGTTCGGTAGAGTTTGAGTCACGTTGAACTAATCTTGTTTCTTCACATGTGGGATTGCGTACGGGAGCTGAGCATTTTTTTTGGAAGTAAAAAGACTAACTACCATCCGTCTACAAACCACCAAAACAAGTTGAAGAACACTCGAAGAAATCAAAGGGAGAAAAAACCATGGTGTTTGATAAGCAAGTTGTTCTCTTTCATAATGTCTAACCACCTCATGCCTCCTCCCCTTCATCTATCCTTTCCCTCTTGGATGCCCTCGTCTCAAGCATTCAATGCTGATGTGTATGTTATAGTGATACCCTCTTAATGTCTCCTTCGTTCGGTCACCTCGTGCCTCCTTCCCTTCGTCTACCCTCTCCCACCCAAATTCCCTCCTCTCAAGTATGCATTGCTGATGGGTGTGTTAGTGATGCCCTCTTTATGATTGAACTAATTTCCGCTTGTATAATTTTCCTTTTTGTTGTGTTTCAGGCAATCGGGTCTCTTCACCAGAAGCTTTTACCAGTTCCTCTCAAATGACTTTGTAACGAGTTTCGACGCTTACACTGGATTCACACTGGAAGTGAGTACACACCATAGTGTAATGCAAACACACACACGCTTGGCATGCGTAACCTCCATACTCAGCCTCCCCATGTCTCCGTAACGAGTTTCGACGCTTACACTGGCTTCACACTGGAAGTGAGTACACCTCACGGTGTATGCGTAAACTCCACACTCAGCAGCCCCACGTTTTCTAATTCTGAGTCGCTTTTGAGAAGTCTCAAAACCCACGTTTTCTAATTCGAGTCATTGAGTACACTTAATTGAGTACATCCGATCGAGTATAGTATCCATCTCCCCTCTTACCTCCACCTCTTCCGCACCCCCTCTCCGCTTTCTCCCCCCTCTCCCTTTCCATCTCCCTTCTGCAAGCGTTTTCCCACCCCTCAGACCCCGTTAAGCTCACAGCAGTCTCATTCTTCACTGGCCTTATCCAATTCGTCCCCTTCCCTCCCCTTCCCCACCCTTTCCGTTTCCTCCATCTCCTTCAGACACTCTCCCACCCCTCAGACCCCGTCAAGCTCATAGCAATATCATTCTTCCCCAGCCTCATCCAATTCGGCTTTTGCGTCAACTCAAAAGTCATTTACCACTCTCCCTCTCCCCTCCCTTTTCCTCCATCTCCTTCAGGCGTTTTCCCACCCCTCAGACTCCGTCAAGCTCACAGCAATTTCATTCTTCACCGGCCTCATCCAATTCTCCCCCCCTCTTTCCCTCTCCTCTCCCCTCTACAGGCGCTCTCCCACCCCTCAGACTCCGTCAAGCTCACAGCAATTTCATTCTTCACCGGCCTCATCCAATTTGTCGCCGAAACCCGCTCGGCAGCGCAGGCAGGCAGGAGCACCACACCTGCTTCATCAACACCTGTAGCATGCGGACCCAGCAACGCTTTTAGCAGCTCGCCATTGCCTCAATCCGGTGTTGCTTTCGCAATCCCAGTGCCGCTCACGAAAGCTCTCTCTCAACTTCTGAAGAAATCCCCGAATGAGAAGCTTCGGGCTGCAGCAGCATCTTCTCTGGGAGAGATTCTTCGCCTCTCATTCAAGAGAGAGAGGTTGGGGTAGAATGATATGGAAGGTGTGTAGTTCTTAGGCGCCTCGAAAATCGTTTCGGGCAGTGGTAGTGGCAGCATCTTCTCTGGGAGAGATTCTTCGCCTCACATTCAAGAGAAAGATCTGGTACTATGTGATAGCAAGTGTGGAGTTATTAGGCGCCTCGAAAATCGTTTTGGGCGGTTGCAGCATCTTTTCTGGGAGAGGTCCTTCGCCTTTCATTCAAACGAGAGAGGTCAGAAGGATTCTGATAAAACGCATTTATAAGGTAAGGGGCCACAGAATTGAGACTCTTGCTTAAAAGCTTCGGGCTGTAGCGGCATCTTTTCTGGGGGAGATTTTTCGTCTCTTACTCAAAAGAGAGGTCCGTTTGATACCATGTGATAGAAAGTGTGGAGTTTTTAGGCGCCTCAAAAAAGTTTCGGGCTATGGCAGCATCTTCCCTTGGGGAGATGCTTCGGCTTCCATTCAAGATAGGGAGGTCTGATACCGGTAGAATGTGATAGAAAGTGTGGATGTGTTATAAAATTATAATTTTTAAACACATTGGTGTTTTTCAAAATTGTATATTTTGAAAGTGAAGCTGCCTGTAGCGAATATTATGGCATCGTCGAAGTGCGCTAAACGCCCTTCTCCAACTACAAAAACCGTGGGTTGGAGTTCATTTCCTCCACCCACGTTTCTCGTTTTCCAACGGCACAATCAACATCCCTGTTGGAAACAAGTGACTTCAGCGCTTCTTATGTGTCGAAATATCAAACTGTAATTGAGGCGAACTACAGCGCAACAAACGACGAGTCAACCATCGGAGGTTGACAAGGCATGCAACTGCTGGAGGTTACGCGAAAGTCAAAAGTCAGTGACTTTTGACCTGACAAGTACAACGCGACAGCAAGGACAAAAAACTGACTCGCTATTGAGCAGTTGCCCGAGTCGTCACTGTATCGAACCGCAACAACAATAGTAAAACGGTTATTAGTTGTACCTCTTCATATTCCTTGTATTCTTATAAAACCTTGTATCTTCTTGCTTTAATCAATCTATCTTGCTTTAATCAATCTATCTTGCCCTCACACACTAGTGCAAGGTGGTTCAATTGTTATTAAAACGTTTCCGCAAACTACAACATTCCCACTCAGAGTTTAGCCTTGCAAAGATCCTAAGGGCTTTTCTCAGCCCAACATGGTATGAGAGCAGTCAGGGCAAGCTCAACTACTTCCAAGACACCTACAACATCAGAAGGCATGGCAACGCAAAAGGAAAGAAGTTCCTCTAACGGTTCTCCCGGCACTACCCCTACCCCACCTCCTGCCTCTGGCCTACAGACAGAGGAGGGCACGGCAACAAGACCAGCAGCGGGGTCTACTGAAACTCCCGCAAATCAAGCTGCAGGCTTCGACCCAAGCATGATGGAGAAGTTCTTCTCCTTCATGTCCTTCTACGAGCAGCATCAGCAAACGGCACCTGCAAAATCAAACAACAGCAACAACAACAACGACGTTACACCGATGAGCCTCGACGGTTCGTTCTATGCGCGCGGAAATCCGCAGCAGCTACCTACCGTTGCTCCGTACGAGCCCCAGCGCCGCTCCATCAGCCTCATGCCGCACCAGCAGCCTTCACCTGGACAAGAGAAGACATTGGATGCACTTCAAGTTCAGTCACTGTTCGCGCACGTCTTAAAGCTGCAAACGTCAAAACCATTCGACGGGAAGGACTTCTTTACCTGGTCGCTTGAATTTGAGCTGATGATGGAAGGCACGCAGATTCTCGGATTCTTCGACGGGTCTCTGCCATATCCAACACACGGGACACAATACGACAAGCAGCAATATACATATCAGTCGCTGATGGCGTACACAATTCTGCTACGAAACATAACGCCGAACGAGCAGCAGAACATTCGGTCTTATCGCGGATACGGAAACTCCGCCGAGCTCGCGTACAGTCACCTGAAGAACCTGTATCAAGCAACAGACAGCGTCAATCAGAGTCGACTTATGGCACAACTGACAACAGTGGAAATGAAACCAGGCGAAAAGGGAATGGCATATGTCAGGCGTTGTCGCGGTTTGCGCAACAGACTCTTTCGGTGCGGAGGAACAATATCTGAAGAAGCCTTCGTGACAGTCATCATTGGCGGCCTCGGTCCTCATTGGCGCTCCACTCGAGCCATTCTCCGAGCCCATGGGAAGATCTTCGAAGCAGCACTCTGCGCCGAGATTCACGCTGAGCAACAAGACATGGACCTGCACGAGGAGCGGCACAAGAAGAGAACGTCAGTACCCGAATTTGCATTCCACACTCAACGGCGCTACAACAACAACAACAACCGACATCAACCAAAATCCGTACCACCGTTTTGTCATCTTTGCAAGACGCCAGGACACCCTCGCACACACTGCCCGAATCGACAGCAGCCAACGCCGCTGCAACGTCAACTTCGTCCTTCAAGCAGCCAAGTGGCATCCACACAGGCGCACCCCACGAGTCAGACGCAGTCTTCAACAACATCACCGACGCAACCTGCACAAGGAGCAAAAAACATCGTTAGCTGCATGGCAAGATTGACTGATTCCTGCATCACCGAGTCACCCCCGCACTACTCACCAGTAGAACAACTCGACGAAAGCACCCCACGATGCGAACTACTGGAGCCGAACCCAACGTATGCAGCCATCGCCCAAAGCGAGCTGTCCGGAAAAGACACTTGGTTCTTGGACAGCTGCTGCGGACAGCACATGTGCTCCTCGGGCCGCTTCGTTCAACGAGAACATCAGCTCCAACGCGAAGTCGTCATCACCGTCGCCAACAATCAGAACCCGCGCACACGACGACAAGGAGTTGTTCAACTTCAGTCAAGGGAAACAAACGTCATACTGCAAATGTCAAAGGTTTTAATCGCGGAGGGACTCGGCTATAACTTACTAAGCGTCAGTCAATTGATGGCGAAAGGCATTCACCTCAAAGCAGACAGCACCACTCAGGAGTTCAAGCTGTACCACGGGAGAGGCGGACTTTACATCGGGAAGGCGGTGTTGAAGAACAACGTCTTCGTCCTCGACTTCGTTCCTGACCTAAGCACCGCCGACAGCGACGAAATCGTAACCTTCACTTCCTGGACACATCCACCGGATCTTGACCCTGATTTCAGCCCCGGCGGCTTCTGGTATTCGCACACTATACCTGAGGCAGAACGAACAAGGGCGTTAGTAACGATTCAACAATCGGCAGCAGCAGAGACAACATCGGCAGCAGCAGAGACAACATCGGCAGCAGCAGAGACAACATCGGCAGCAGCAGAGACAACATCGGCAGCGGCACAGACAACATCGGCACTAGCAGAGACAACATCGGCAGCAGCAGAAGCAACACCAGCACCAATCGCTGGCCCTTCAATGGCACCGGTCTTCGTCGACAATATGCCACCGACTCCTGCGCAGCAGCTAACTTCGACTCCACGAGAAGTTCACAGAAGCGCCAACTTCACCGCCGGTTTTTACACCAACTCCGACTTGTAAAGGCGCTCACCCGGACATCGCGCTGGTGAAGACATATGGCACACAAGAATGGGACATCCGAGCAACACGACGTTAAATAACATGATAAGAGCAGGAGTACTTGACAAAGACTCGCTACTCTTACCCGACGGCAGAGAACTTCAACGAGTTTGAGGAACATGCCTCACCTACCCTGAAGCCGACTTACCGCATCAGCCATTCGCTTCGCATCACAACCCGAGCGCACCAGCATACGCACCTCTGGAGAAAGGGTACAGCGACATACTGTACAATCGCGAGCCTGGACAAGGTGCATACAACTATGTCATCACCTTCATCGACGCCGCCACACGATACGTATGGCACCTTAACCTTCCGAGCCGCGACATGGCCTTCGAAGCCTTCGTCGCCTGGCTTCCAGTAGCAGAACAAGAATCAGGAGTGAAGCTGAAAAGCTTCCAGTCAGA